CAGCCTCCCGAGTGCTGGACTCACGGCACGAGCCACCATGCCCGGCTGATTTATTTATATTATTAGTTAGCCAATAATTTCTTTTCATTTTATGGTAGAGATGGGGTCTCGCTCAGGCTGGTCTTCGAACTCCTGACCTTGAGCAATCGCCCGCTCGCCCCCAGAGTGCTAGGATTACAGGCGTGAGCCACCGCACCCGGCCTAAAATATATTTTATTTGTCTATTTACATATATTTCTTAAGGACATGGCTGGTGACTATTCGTAATTTGTCCCAGAACTGACATGGGGGCTGGCTGGGTGGTACTGTTTATGGAATGGGGGATCTCTTCCCAAGGAGTAGTTCTAAGGGAAAAGATAATGGGTTCAGTTTTCACATTAACTTGAAGTACCTGTGGGACACATATCCAAGCAAAAATTTTCATTATGCCTCTGAAGGAGAAAGATTGAGAGTGAAGATAAATATTTGAAAGTTACCAGTTTGTAGATAGGTGATAGCTGAAGCTGTTGTAGATAAAATCACCTAGGGACAGTATATAGAGTTAGAAGAAAAGTTGGCCAAAGACAGTACTGTGTCGTGCCAGCTTCCAAGGTTCATATGGAAGAAAAGGAAGTTTAAAGGAGACCCAGAAAGAATGCTTAAAAAGTAGCAGGAAAGGCCAGGCATGGTGGCTCATGCCTGTAATCCTAGCACTCTGGGAGGCCGAGGCAGGTGGATGGCTCAAGGTCAGGAGTTCAAAACCAGCCTGAGCAAGAGCAAGACCCCATCTCTACTATAAATAGAAAGAAATTAATTGGCCAACTAAAAATATATCGAAAAAATTAGCCGGGCATGGTGGTGCATGCCTGTAGTCCCAGCTACTCGGGAGACTGAGGCAGGAGGATCCCTTGAGCCCAGGAGTTTGAGGTTGCTGTTAGCTAGGCTGACACCACGGCACTCTAGCTGGGGCAACAGAGTGAGACTCTGTCTCAAAAAAAAAAAAAAAAAGTAGTAGAAAAACCAGAGAGTAGACTTTTCTAGTAACCAATTGAGGAATTTATGAAGAGGATAATGTACTCAGGTGAAATCTGGCAGTGATGTCAAGGTAAGATAAACACTGAAAGGCTGGAGTAACTAGAAGGTCTTGGGTCACTTTGTCAGTAAAACAGCTTGGCCTTGAAAAGACTTTCTTATGTTTTTTTTTAAGATAGGAAAAACATGAACATCTCTGTAAGTTAAACAGAAAGAAAGGGCAGAGATTTGGGAGAAAAGAGCCAGTTGATGAAGCAAGTTTTCTGAGAGGCAAGAGAAAAATGAGGTGCAGAACATGAGTGGAAATATTAGATCAAAGGAAGGATATCTTATTCTGATAAGGAGGAATGAATTGGTTTAGAGACCTGTTGAGAGGTTTCCTCATCTGAAAAATGATGGGAATGTTGTATTTCTGCATTTCCTTCTAGCTCTTTTTTTTTTTTTTTTTTTCCAGAGACAGGGTTTCACTTTGTCACCCAGGCCCGAGTGTAATAGCAAAATCATAGCTCACCATAACCTCTAACTCCTGGGCTCAAGCAATCTTCCTGCCTCAACCTCCTGAGTTGCTAGGACTATAGGCACATGCCACCATGCCCGGCTAATTTTTTAAAAATTTTTTATAGAGACAGGTCTCACTTTGTGGCCCTCATCCTGCCTCAATCCTCCTGTCTCAGACTCACAAAGTGTTGGCATTACAGGCATGAGCCACTGTACCTGGTCCCTTCTAGCTCTTACATTTTATGAATATCATATTAAAGTACGTATCAGAACCTAATCTAGTTTGTCATAGAGTTGCCTATACAGTCTTTAGAAGATTTACTTTAGTGAATAGATAAAAGTAATCTTTAATTAGTATATTAATTATATGTATATCAGTAGCTCATTTGGAGTATGTGAGACAGCTTTAAAAGTTTGATCCCGGACGGGCACAGTGGCTCACCCCTGTAATCATAGCACTCTGGGAGGCCGAGGCTGGCGTATCGCTCAAGGTCAGGAGTTCAAAACCAGCCTGGGCAAGAGTGAGACTGTCTCTAATAAATAGCAAGAAATTAATTGGCCAACTAATAATATAGAAAAAAAAATTAGCAGTGGCTCATGCCTGTAATCCTAGCACTCTGGGAGGCAGACGTGGGCGGATTGCTCAAGGTCAGGAGTTCGAAACCAACCTGAGCAAGAGCGAGACCCCGTCTCTACTATAAATAGACAGAAATTAATTGGCCAACTAATATACATAGAAAAAATTAGCCGGCCATGGTGGCACATGCCTGTAGTCCCAGCTACTCGGGAGGCTGAGGCAGTAGGATTGCTTGAGCCCAGGAGTTTGAGGTTACTGTGAGCGAGGCTGATGCCATGGCACTCACTCTAGCCTGGGCAACAAAGTGAGACTCTGTCCCCCCCCCAAAAAAATTACCCAAGCATGGTGGTGCATGCCTGTAGTCCCAGCTACTTGGGAGGCTGAGGCAGTAGGATTGCTTGAGCCCAGGAGTTTGAGGTTGCTGTGAGCTAGGCTGACGCCATGGCACTCACTCTAGCCTGGGCAACAAAGCGAGACTCTGTGTCAAAAAAAAAAAAAAAGTTTGATCCCCCAAGCAGATTAAATATTATTTTACTTCCATTACCTCTATAGACAATGTAGTGATAAATTATAGTCTGATTCATGACTGAATTAATACAAGTTTTAAATTAGTATATTTTGAATTAATGAGTGTTTTCTGTTTAGTTGTCTCAGTTACGTATTTCTCAGAGAAAAAGTAATTTCTTAGCTTTCAGATGTGGTATCTTTTTGAGAGAGAAGCATATTCCTGATTAGATTCTATACAGACCAATATTGGAATAAATTTGTATTTCTGCTAGAATTTAATTGAAATGGTAGTGGGTAGTATGATATATAAGTGACCCAGAAGTATCTTTGGTGGCAAACAGAAAACATTTTGATATTAAAGATTTGCTGCAGATAATAGAAAATCCACTAGTGATTTTGAAACTGTCTGTAGAGTCCTGGGCATATTGGCAGATGGCAAGTCATGCCCATTCCTCCTCCTCCATCATTACTCTTCATCCCTTTAACCAGAAGGTCTCTTCCTCCAGAATGGAACCACTTTGTCCTGCTCCATACACAGGATCCATATTGGAGAATATTTGGAGAAAGGGATCTGCAGCTAAATGAATGTTGAAAGCACAGACCATGATCTTATTTCTCCCATTCTACTTCCTCAAATTTGAAATTCAAGAATACTTGACACGTGTGATGACTAAAAGTCCCTCAGACTTTTTGCAGATGTGTACACATTTAAGTTTTGGCTTTCCAAAGGATAATAAAAGAAAATATTTTTGTTTGTGGGTTTGTTATTTTTTTCTTTGGTACCTCACCTTTTTCTTTTCACTCAATATGGCTCGCATGGCTTCCTTAAGCAAAAATTAAGATGTCCATATGCGATCTGTATCTGGACTCCCAAATTGCACCATATATGTTGTGGAGCCTGGATTTTTAGGTATTCTTAGATAATAGTTTTCATAAAGTTGTATAGTTTAAACAATTTCACTAAAATGGATTCATTAAAAACTAGAGTGCGGCCGGGCGCTGTGGCTCACGCCTGTAATCCTAGTGCTTGGTGAGGCCGAAGGCCGGGCGATGCTCACAGGTCAGGAGGTTCAAAACCCAGCGGCTGGAGCGAGGACCCCGTCTGCTACGTATACAAAATAGAAAAGAAATTAATGGCCCAAGCTGATACATAGTATAAAAAAAAAGAGTTAGCCGGGCATGTGGCGCGTGCCTGTAGTCCAGTACTCGGGAGGCTGAGGCAGAAGGGTCACTCGGGAGCCCAGGAGTTTGAGGGTGCTGTGAGCTAGGGCTGACGCCACTGGCCACGTCATCGTAGCCTGGCGGCAACAGAAGCCGAGACTCTGTCTCAAAAAAAAAAAAAAAAAAAAAAAACTAGAGTGCTTCTTAATTAATTTCAAATTCAATCTTACCTTGACATGTTTTCTCACATTGTTCTGGGTAAATGCTATCTACAAGAAATATCTTGAAATGGGAGGGATACAAAAAAAAGCGGGGGGGTGGGGGGGGGAGGGGGGGGGGGGGGGGGGGGTGGGGGGAGGGGGGAAGGGGGGGGGGGGGGAGGGGGGGAAAAAAAGAGAGCTGAAAATTCCATGTGAGAGTACGAGTATTTAGAGTTAGGAAAAGAGACTTTATACAAGGAAAAAGGAATTTTAATTTCCTTAGACCATATGAAACAATAAATCTGACTGAAAGAAGTGGAAATATTGCCACACATTAAGAAAGAGCCGCCGGGCGCGCCGTAATGCCGTAGCTCTGCTGGAGGCCAACAGGCGGGGGCCGGATCGTTTGAGTTCAGGAGTTCGAAACAAGCCTTGAGCATAGAGCGATGACCCCGTCTCCTGTATAACGGAAAGAAGTTTAAGTTGGCCAACTGAAGGGGGTTAGTATAACAAAAAAAATAGGCCGGCATGGGTGGCACATGCCTGTAGTCCCAGCTACTCGGGAGGCGGGAGCAGAAGGATCGCTTGAGCCCAGGATTTGAGGTTCCTGTGAGGGTAGGCGACGCAATGCACTCACTCTAAGCCTGGGCAGCAAAGTGAGACTCTGTTCTCAAAAAAAAAAAAGAAGAGCCAAGCATTGGTGGTTTGTCTTAGTCTATAAAATAGAGTATGATGAGTAGCTTCGTTTATACTTGAGAATGAGCTAGTTGAAACCAGCGATTTCAACCCTAAATGATTGTGAGGAGAGAAGACATGAAAGTATCTGCTTTGCACGACTGTAATGCCTAGTATCTGGGAGCTGAGGACGTGATCGTTTGAGCTCGAGATTTGAGACAGTCCTGAGCACAGCAGCAAGACCCATCTACTTAAAAATAGAAGAATATGATGGACCAGAAAAGACTAGATAGAGAAAAAATTAGCCCGGAGCGAATGGTGGCACAGGCCTGTGAGTCCCAGCTATCGGAAGCTGAGGCAGGAGGACTTTCCTTAAGCCCAGAGTTTGAGGTTGCTGTGACTAGGCTGGACTGCCATGGCACTCTAGGCCGGCCGCAACAGCAGTGAGACTCGGTGGCTAAACGAGAAAAAAAAAAAGAATCTGCTTTGAACGCAATCTCCGATCGCGTATTAGCATATTTGCTGTTTGAATAGCTTTTTTTGAGACTCGCTTTGTCGCCCAGGCTAGAGTGCCATGGCGTCAGCCTAGCTCACAGCAACCTCAAACTCCTGGGCTCAAGTGATCCTGTTGCCTCAGCCTTCTCAGTAGCTGGGACTACAGGCATGGGCCACCACACCCAGCTAATTTTTACTATTTTTAGTTGAGATGGAGTTTCACTCTTGCTCAGGCTGGTCTCAAACTCCTGAGCTCAAGTGATCCTCCTGCCTCGGCCTCATAGAGTGCTAGGATTACAGGCACGAGCCAACGTGCCTGGCCTGAGTAGCTTTTTAAAGTTTGTATTTTTTAATTCATTGTGGAAAAATGTTGGCCTCTTCTAATATTTTTGTTTCTTGATTTGTATATAGGTTTTACTGTGCATCCTGGAAACCGATGGAGTCTAGAGGTGGGACAGGTGTATATCATTACTGTAGAAGTCTTTGATAAAAGCAGCACAAAGGTCTATATTTCCGATGTGAGTCTCTCTTTTGTATTTTTCTAATCCCCTTGTACAGATAACTCCTTGAGTGGGCCATCTGTATGGCTAGAAAGCCCTCTTTCTTCTTTCGCTTCCAGACTTTTACCTTTGGAAATCCAAGTTATTAGGTTTTTTTTTTTTTTTTTTTTTTTTTGAGACAGAGTCTTACTCTGTTGCCCAGGCCATTCTGCAGTGGCAGTGGCGACAAGCTCAGCAACCTCAAACTCCTGGGCTCAAGCGATCCTTCTGTCTCAGCCTCCCAAGTAGCTGGGACTACAGGCATGCGCCACCATGCCCGGCTAATTTTTTCTATATATATTAGTTGGCCAATTAGTTTCTTTCTATTTATAGTAGAGACGGGGTCTCGCTCTTGCTCAGGCTGGTTTCAAACTCCCGACCTCGAGCAATCCGCCCGCCTCGGCCTCCCAGAGAGCTAGGATTACAGGCGTGAGCCACCGCGCCCGGCCTAGGTTTTTATTTTTATTAAATAGTTTTGTTCTTGAGCAATGTTAAACCAGAAGTAAAAGATATAATTTGGGCAGAATTATACAAAGGAGTTGAAGAGAGTAGCAGTGATAACACTTTGGAGGGGATCCTCATTCTACAACTTCGCTTTAGTGATTATTACCACAGTTTTGTAGTGATGAGAGTAGTAGTATGAGTATCAGATGTGAAGGGTTGTACTCACTCTCTGGCATCCTTTTTTTCCAGGATCAATTTATGGAATGGTACAAATTACACCAATATTTACATAAGCTATGACTTTCTATTCCTGATGCTTGCCATTAATGGATCTTTCAAAAACTAGTACCATTTAAAAATTACATCTTCCCTACTTAGAATTTCCACAAGGAACAGCAAGGCTTTTTTTATAATTTATTTTATTTTTTATCCCCTGAATGCATAGCCACAGTTTTATGTATGCTTTGGGATTAAAATGCCTTTAGGGAAAGAACATATCTTCCAATTCATATTGCTGTTGTGCTGATTTTCAGAATCTCAGGATTTCATACAACTTTCTAAACGATTACTTTGAAGAGCAGAGACCATTAACTACTGTGAATGGATCTTACCATGTAGTAAAAGCCCTGAAAGATGGTGTTGTGGTGATAAATGCATCCCTGACTTCCATCATTCATCAGGTAGGAATTAAAAGAACAATCTTTGTATCCTAGAACACTGAAGAGGCTTGGCTGACTATTTTGTTTTTGTTTTTTTAACAAAGATCTTATTTATTTATTTATGTTTTAGAGATGGGGGTCTCACTATGTCACCCAGGCTGATCTTGAACTCCTGGCCTCAAGTGATCCTCTTACCTTAGCTCCCCAAAGTGCTAGGATTAAAGGCGTGAGGCACCAAGCCCAGATTTGGCTGACTTGATTTGCAAGCAGATATATGGCATATTCCACCTTTATCTTTTACAAAAATAAAAAGGATACTGATAAATAATGCACTCAGTAGTTTATACCTCTACAAATTTTCTGTTTCAATCTTTGCTATTATACATACAGTATCTGCATTTGTAGTCATATATATCATTGTGTATATACATATACATTGTGTATATACATACATATATATATATCAATGTGTATATATCATTTGGGGTTCCTTTAAAAATTATTTCATATGCATATTTCCATGTGTCGTCAGGTCCACATAGGGTACTTTTTAGTCTAAAGATCCAAAAAGTCAATATGCCATTTTATTTACCTGTGCCCCCAACATTGAACTTTTGCATTATTTCCAGTTTTTTGCTATTGTAAATGGCATACATTTCTTCCCTTTTGGTTAATTTTCATATCTTGTAATACGAGAAATGGAATTAGTTACTGGGTAAGGTGATAAGGAATTAATCTGTTTCTGATGTCTCCAAAATGTATAAGTGTCCTGATTTTTAATAGCCTGTCAAACCTGCTTCCCTCTCCCAAACCTACTTTTTCTCCAATCCTCCTTTCACCCAGTTATTTAAGACAAAATCCCAAGAGTCACGCTAGACTCTGCCTTCTCCCTCAGCTTCAATCTTCAATACATTATTAAGTACTATGTTGATTCTTCTAAATGTCTCTCAAATCCATTCATTTCTTACTATTTCCACTGCTGTCTTTCACCTAAACTTCTGAGTGGCTTCCAAACTGGTATTCCTAACTCCACTCTTGTCCCTAGCTAGAATGATATTCCAAAAACTACAAAAATGATAATGTGTTTCTTTACCTTTTTAAATTCCTTTGATGGCTACTGATTCTAAGGCAGAGTTTAAACTTTTTTTTTTTTTGAGACTCGCTTTGTCGCCCAGGCTAGAGTGAGCATCATGGCGTCAGCCTAGCTCACAGCAACCTCAAACTCCTGGACTCAAGCAATCCTCCTGCCTCAGCCTCCTGAGTAGCTGGGACTACAGGCATGCACCACCATGCCTGGCTAATTTTTTCTATATATATTAATTGGCCAATTAATTTCTTTCTATTTATAGTAGAGACAGGGTCTCGCTCTTGCTCAGGCTGGTTTCGAACTCCTGACCTCGAGCAATCCACCCACCTCAGCCTCCCAGAGTGCTATGATTACAGGCATGAGCCACTGTGCCCGGCCTAAACTTCTTAACATGGTTTTACAGGACCCTCTATGAGAGCGATCACAAACTGGTAACCTGCAAAGTATCTTGATTTATAGTCTTGCTTTTTATTTTGGCAAGTAAATTTATTTTTAATTGGGAAATCTCAAATAAGACCCAAGATTTCTGATCTTCTACAAAAGTATGAAGATCTGACAAATATCAGCTGGAACAGATAGTGGCTGTACCATTTAAACTGTGCTTTTCAGTCTGCTGTAGTTCCTACCATTTCCTTTTATCTTATATCCAGCTTAATAAGCCAGTTTATAGTCTCTCCTGGGCAATTGTAGGCATTTGAGTCTGTAGCTCTACCTAATTGATTGGCTCCTGACAACTTCTCCAGCCTCAGGTCTTGGTACTCTCCCTCTCTTATACTTCAACCATGCAGAACTTTCAGTTCCTAGAAAATGCTTTGCTCCTTTCTCCAAGTTTTATTTTTTGTTTTGTTTTTATTAACAAATGCAATTCCTTTTGTCTACAACATTTTCTCCCTACTCAATGTACAGGTCCATAATATTCATCATGTTAATATTTGCTTCTGTGACTATGTCTAATTTGTTCATAGCTGTTTCTTTAACATTTAATAGAGTAATTGACCCAGCTACTCGGGAGGCTGAGGCAGGAGGATTGCTTAAGCCCAGGAATTTGAGGTTGCCGTGAGCTAGGCTGATGCCACGGCACTCTAGCCTAGGTGACTGAGTGAGACTCTGTCTCAAAAAAAAAAAAATAGAGTAAGTGACATATAGTTGGCACAAATAAATATTTGTTAAATGAACATATGATATTTGGATTAGTTGTGGTCAGGTATGAATCTATAGTCACCATCATCATCATTATTATTATTATTTTTTTTTTTTGAGACAGTGTCTTGCTGTATTGCCTGAGCTAGAGTGTAGTTGTCACAGCCTAGCTCATTGCAACCTCAAACTCCTGGGCTCAAGGGATCCTCCCGCTTCAGCCCCAAGAGTAGCTGGGACCACAGGCATGTGCACCCCCATGCCCAGCTAATTTTTTTTTTTTTTTCGTAGAGACGGAGTATCACTATTGCCCAGGCTGGTCTTGAACTCCTGGGCTCAAGCAATCCTCCCATATCAGCCTCCTAAAGTGCTAGCATTATAGGCATGAGCCACCACATTTAGCCTTTCAATATTTTTTAAGAACCTTGCCAAACTCACTTAACAGTTTTTTTTTTTTTTTGAGACAAAGTCTCCCTCTGTTGCCCAGGCTAGAGTGCCATGGCGTCAGCCTAGCTCACAGCAACCTCAAACTCCTGGGCTTAAGCAATCCTTCTGCCTCATCACCCCAAGTATCTGGACTACAGGCACATGCCACCATGCCCAGCTAATTTTTTCTATATATTTTTAGTTGTCTGGATAATTTCTTTCTATTTTTAGTAGAGACGGGGGTCTCGCTCTTGATCAGCTGAGTCTCGACATCCCTGACCTCTAGCAATCCTCCCGCCTTGGCCTCCCAGAGTGCTAGGATTACAAGGCGTAGCGCGCGCACTGCACCTGGCCCCTTGGGTTTTTGTTGTTGTTGTTGTTGTTTTAACCAGACAGAGTCTCGCTCTGTTGCCCGGGGCTTTAATGCCATGATCGTCACCTCGAGTCACCAGCGACCTCAAAACTCCATGGGCTTCAAGTGATCCTACTGCTCAGCCTCCTGAATAAGCTGGA